ATGGCTCTGCCGATGGGCTGAATTGGTCTAAATGACCCAATAATTAAGTTTTTCAGAGCTTGACTCTGCTGTGTCCAAATTAGAAACATTTTGTTATTTTGATGTAGTTAACAAAATAACTCCATATAACTTGAAATACTCAGTTAAATGTTTCCACAAAATAATAGCATAGACAAATGGCTTCTGGATTTAGATGGAGAAATATGATACAAAAGCATTGCTGAATAATCTCATGTAATCTAATTTAAAGAGAAAAGTGTAAATGTTCCTGAAGATGCTCTGATCTTTGGGGAGTTGACTGAGCTTGTAACTTTGTGTTTTCAGTATTACGGTTTTATGATGATTGCACATTAAACCCAATCCGTAATATTCATACAATTTGAACAGTGCTTACTGCACTTTGACCTAGTATTTTTGCCTCTATCACCTTTGATTACACCGCAGAGGGATGACCCTGATGGACCACAGTGCAAAGTCAGAGTGGTCAGCTCTAGCCCCCACTGTGCCCAGTGTCAGCTAACACTTTGTACTGAAGTGGGTAACAGTGCTGAGTCAGGTCTGCTGTGGGAGACAATAAGAGGCAAATCAGAGGTGAAGTGCCTAATCAGTGTCTGCCATTGTAAACTGGAAGTGTATCCACACTATAAAGCAATTCTTTATGCTTCTGCAAGTCTATACCTAGGCCCTGCAGCTACAATGCAAAGGATAAAGTAAACCCTGGAGCTGAGAATCCTCTGCAGAAAATGCTTTGTTATCATCATCTTTTTTTTTTCTTTTTTTAATAGAAGCAAATAGACTTAGTATCTTAAATGCCAGGGCAGAATATTTGGAAGGAGGTGGTCTTTAAAGTTACAAAAAATAGATTGTGTAGTGGATTGTATTCACATTTATGTATCAAAAAACCCAGGTTGAACTATCCTTTGATATGATTTGAAAAGTTGCACAGGTTATGGCTCATAGGAGTTATGTCTCTCTGCTGAACAAATGAACAGCCACATTCATGTTTTCTCAGATACGGTAAGCAGAACTGTAACTACTAACTAAGATAATGGTCTTGTAGCATGTATGGTCCTTGCCACCCTATTACCTGAGTGCTCAATCTTGTCTGGAAACTGTTATAGCAAGAGTGTAGAGTCATTTTGTAGCCAAAGGTAACTGCTAACAGACATGTGGGGATTATACAAAATTAAAAATTCATAATACAATAAAAATTAGTAAGTTGGAAGTTTACAGAAATGTTGTTCCATATATACATTTTTGTTTATATCTACTACAATTACCCTGTTAATTGAAGGAAGAAACTGCTTAACATGCAGTATAACCTGTAAAAGATTTAACCACCAGCCCAGTTTCCGCATCTCTAGCTTACAGAACCCAAACCTTTTGCATCCAGCTCTGAGGTTTCGTAGTCTGACCAAAAATATTTTTGAAAGCAAACTATGAAAATCAAACTCCTACTTTAGAAGGAAATTCCTTTAAAAACAAGTGTCTCAAGGTAAGTATTTCATTGAGTCTCTTAAATGAAGCTTTGGAAGTGCCATGAGAAGCCCCATAGCCCATAGATGGATTTGCTGTATTTGTTTGCCCTCTACTTTTGTTTCCCAAGAACCGGTCAGATACACAATGCCATTGCTGCTTTACTTCACGCTAAATAAATTCTGAATATAAAACTGAGCTGCATAAATTGGCTTTTAACTAGTTTACTTTCTGGGCTTCGCTAGTCCTAGAAAATGATAGAAGAGTAATTAATATCAGTTTTCTTGCTAATCAGTCTTATCTTCTTGTCTTGTGCACCAGTACAAAGTTGTGATGCTGAAACTGCTGACCTGGCAGAAGAATATTTAAATCCAAATGAATTGCTCCAGTGAAGTGAAACCAAGCTATAATGTATTTCAATACCTCCTTCATAGGTGTAAAATTGGGCTACTAGTAAATATCGCATGTGCGTATTTGCAAGAATCTTCCATTAGACTTTAAATTGTAAACTCCTCAGAAGAGAGATCTCATATATGTCTTTGAACTGGTTGAAGATTACTTTGGTATAAGTCCAAACAACAAATCTAGCCCATTGTAGTATATTTTTCCTGCAGTATGTTTAAAGCTCTATGTAATTATAATGGAAAGAAATGTTACCTGTTCTTGCAAGCTTGCAATACATTTTGTGCTGCATAGTGCTCCAGTTCAGAGCCACAGGTTCTGCTTAGGCTCAGACAATTATGTCAGAAACTACTGTAAAACTCTACTATTCTTATCTTCATGTTTTTGGAGGAAGGCTGGAAAAGATGATGAATGTCATTTAGTGATTCAAAAGTCAAGATAAGTCTTAGTAAACTGAGAACCCAAGTTTAATTTTTTTTTTTTTTTAACAAAATGGCATGACTTAAAGGAGCTTGATTCTGTATATCTGAATTTTTTTGATTGGGTATTATTGAAGTAGTGGCTCATCATCACCATCAGTAATGGCAATAATAATATGGAAGAGGAGAAGTACTTGGAAGTGTTTTAAAAAAAAAACAAACAACAAAAAAACCACAAGAAAAATCGAAAAAACAAAACCACCACAAACCCAAAACCCTAGCATCTAATATATGTGCTTTCCTTGTTACCTATAGCAGAATATTCATCAAGTACAGAATGTCCCCATTTATGTGACTGTAAGAGACAGGGAGATGAACTATATATTCTTTGTATTTTGGAAGCAAAGTGAGATTGTAGACAAATACTTCTGTCCACAATCTCAGAGGTATCTCAAGGTGCAGCTATTGTACTGTTTTCTCTTCTTTATGGCTTGCAGACGAAATATTTAAAAGTATTTTCCAGTACTTCAAAGTTCCAGGCATTTACTTTAGGTAGTTACATATTTCACAAAGAAGCACATAGTTCTGTCAGCAGAATTTATAAAGCTGTATTTTTCAGTAACTTTCCGTACCATAACTAAAGGATAGGCTTCCTCCACCTGCACACTCTTCCTTTCCAAAATCCTCTACCGGCTCTTATTTGACTGTCAGCAAGGTAGATGGTAGAATATCATGTGACCGACTCAGAGTTGAGCTATGTGGCCGGCAAGAGCCAAACAAAATTCACTTTTTAGGAGGCCAAAAAGGGGGGAAAAAAAAAAGCCGCAGCTCTTTAAGGACAGCATGCTATGGCAGCCAATTCTAAGAATTTGATGTCTGCATTTCTTATCTGTCAGTCAGGTTTTTCTGAAACTGGCAAATGACTTCAAAAGTAGCTAGGTGACAGTGTGATTGCACACAACCATAGACTAATGTAATCTATGGTGGGGCCTCTGGAGGTCTCTAGTCCAACCTCCTGTTCAAAGTAGGACTGACTTCCAAGTTAGATAAGGTTGCTCAGTGCCTTGTCTGGTCAAATTCTGGATATCTTCAAGGATCGACATTCCACAACACCTCTGTACAACATATTTGTGTGCTTAACCATGCTCATGCTGAATTTTTTTTCCCATATATCTAGTTGGAATCTTGCTTCTTAAAACTTGGGACCATTGCTTCTTTTTGTTGTGTACAGAAACCTTGTTCCTTAAGAAGCCTGGCTAAAAGTAAGTAAACTGACTCCTAGTCAAGAGCTTTAAACACTGGCTTTCTGGCCTTTTTACTTTTTGAAACAAGTTGTAAAAGAAATCCTTTGATAACTGACCCATCTTCTTAATTCGTCAGCTGCACTGTAATGTTTTCATCTGCTTTGGTGGTCCCATGGAGACTGAGAGAACACTAAGACAAACAGAGCTGTTGTAGATAATCTTCCTAGAACACATCTATCTTTTCTTGTCTTACTTATGAAAGCAATAAATGAAAGGCAACGTGATAAACAGCAAGCTTCAAGAGGCTTCAGCTGCTGCGTTGCTTGAAACAGAGAGAAGACAGACTTTTTTGACACCACACTCTGGCAATGTCAAATGAGCATTTAGGAGACTACCTGATGATCTTGCCTTGGTGAGCGTTCAGATTATATCACGCTTCTATCTTATTTTTTTCAGGAGTGACTTTTAACGAAGTTGGGACAAAGCTCCTAAACAAAACAATTCAGTCTTTAAGTCACCACATGATAATAGCCTTGGAGAAGGCTCTAGAAGTTGTTCTGAGGCTGTACATAAAACACACTGAATGAGTCACAGCTCCTGTAAGTTTTGCCAGTGCATGAAAAACATGAGCTATTGGTTTTTCTGTCAAATAGCTGTTCTGACCTGAGCTGAAACTTGATTTATACTTTGTCTTCTGTTTCTTCCAGTCTGCATCTCAGTGTGGTATAAATGGCAAGAATTTTAAAGTGTTCTGGTTTTAATTATCCAAGGTTGACCCTGGAACTGCTTCTTATCCACTATCTTGGCACATTAAATTCAGGTTTTCTAAAATGGTTAGAAATAGTTTGAAAGAACCATGTATTTTCCATCCAAATGAGCATACAAGTGAATCATTATATAATCAAGTGTACAATAATAACTCAGTAAGTTTTAAAAGAAAGAAACGTATGGTGGGAACCTGCACCCTGCTAGTCATACCAAGAAATAGTCCGCTATGAATTGTTTTAAAGCAATCTTGGTGCCTTTTAATAAACGATACTAGTGAATGCATTTGTTGTTGTTGAACTTGGTAATTTGATATTGAAATAGAGTGATTGGCTTAATCCAGAAACAGAAAGGCCATATGGACAGCTGTATAAAAATATATGTGTGAGAAAAATGGAATCAGACATTATGTTTTATTTTAAAAGTACTTATTTTATTATATTTTATTTCTTTATAAATTCAGTCTCGAATATAGATTCTTTTATGGGAGGCTGTATACATTTACCAATTGGTATTTGCATGTATGTCAATCTTCTGTCACCTTTACAGGAAAAAATCATGTTACAGCTATACTAAAGAAGGTAAGAGCCACTGAGATTTAAATTGTTCTCTTGTTTCCCTGTAGGTTATTGTAACATTGATGGATTTCTGTAATAGATTGGAGGCTTTGAGTTCCCCACACTGCTAAATAAAAAACTTACAATATCTTAACACACCAATCCAAGGACCCTGACAAATAATAATTCAGAATGTATCATATCATACAAAGTATTTGTTACTGGCTAACAGGCATATACCCAATGTATCTAGGAGAAGAGAAGAAACAGTTACTGTATAAGATTATGATGTAGGCAGAAGTTTTAATGGGGAATAATATATTGTATTTATATCACTTATCTAGGCAATGCTTCCAAGAAAGCTATAAAGTATTATTAACGTTGTACATCTTTCAAACATTTAGAAACAGAAAGATTTACTATTAACTGTATCTGGAAAAAGTCTAACATCTTCAGGTCCGTGTTGTGGGAACAATACATCCTGCCACTTGAAACATAAAATAATTAAAAGAGATTTCAGCATAAACCTTGAAACTGATGCTTTAGAATAAAAGGCATGAATTCTTGATCTTTAATCATGCCTGCAAGTCCTTTTTCCGTGCAGATACAGAGTGTAACAATAAAGGCCACTGTTATGAAATACTTTCAAAGAAGAATGATTTTAGATACCTGATCTTTTTTTCTGCTTTATGACATTGCTTTTTCCAGTCTCACTGGAGGACAAAGAGAAAGAATGAACTTCTGAGGAATACTATTCCTTATTGAGTGGAGGAAGAAATGTTGCTTTCTCAAATCTAGCATTTTATCTAGAAGCAACAGAATAGAATAATTATTTGTGAAAGTATGAATTAAGTTCCATATTATTGCTATACAAATTCTAGTTATAGGCGAACGATGAACTGAACCTGCAGATGGTGAGTCATGTCTGATATCTGAAGGAAAGAATTGTAGGCTAAGGAACTATTAGAAGGTGCTCTAAGTCCTTCTGGCACTGTTATAGCTGTGCTATGAAGTATCTGGTCATTATACCTATCCATTAGGTAGCTTCCAAACTGAAATGATTTCTTTATTTCATAAGATGTTATGAATAACCTTCAATTTTTTTCAAAGGATCGTTAACTACCAATGGGAAAAATGCAGCATTCGTAATTTAGGATCACTTGATAAATTAATTCTTGAGGAGGAAATACTTTCAAAATCGGGATGGGGCTAGACAGAGAGGATCACAAAGCAATTAGGCAAAATCCCTGCTGGCCTGTATCTTTCAGGGGATGGACACCTTAACTTCAGGTGCCTGACTGGCATGGTGTGTCTGATTGTTAGAAAAAGATCACTCCTTACTGGCGGGTTTGTAAAGGCAGAGACCTTGGACTCCAGCATTCACAGGAGGAAAAAAGAATTAAGATCTGTATCTCGTGAAGTGAATCAAGAACTGTGGAGAGTCCTGGCGAAAAGCAAAGGCATTTTGAGGGAAAAAAAAAAATATAAATTACCAGGGAAGAATCGTATTTTGTCAGAGAAAGATCTAGTCTTACAATGACAATCTACCCACAGACATTTCTTTTTCCAAGATACCAGGTCTTGATCAGCTGAAAGAAAAGTTATTTTCAATATTGCCACTACCATGGGCAGAATTCATGTGCCTTAATTCAATAGCAGCCTTTTAAAGAGTCAGAGGATCCAAAAATGTTGCTTATGCGAGGTGCTGGCTGTCATTTCTAAGACCTTACTTGGTCTGAATGGACAATGCCTTTTGGGACTCCTGGATTGTGACTTCTCTGTTTCTAAGTTCTTGAGAGGAGCATGGATAAGGCCCAAGGAACTTGAATGCTCTTAAGACATATTTTTGATCTAAATATCTCCTCATGGCCCTGTAGATTAAATGCTGTTACCTTTAAGTGTGTTGTTCTTAGATTTTCTTTTTGCTTATGCATCTGTAGCCTGTGTCTAGACTATCTGCACTGAACCAGATCCATTTGAGTTGGAAGAATAACATCTCCTGTGACTTTGCCACAGATGCTGCAAATTAGTTTGGCTTTCCCTCAGATGTGAAAATAATCTTTACCTGTTTTACAGAAGTATTGAAACCAGATTTACTGATACATATAAATTGACTCGAATATGTTGCTTAAACTGCAAGAGCATTTAAATTTGTTTTAGAAGTAATTTACACAAGTGAAATAGTTATAAAATGCTTAACCACATCTCTGGATAGTTCCAGCACTTTCTTGCTTGGAAAAAATAAGGAGGATACTGGTGGGATAGCCGTTTTTAAAAACTGATCTTTCAGGGGCTATTTTAGTGATCAGAGAATGGTGACTCTGCACAGAAGTGGCAATCTTCGGTGACTAACCATTATGCAACTGGAGATTCTGGTCTGACATTTATATAGTTGTGCCACTAATGTGAATTCTCCTTAAATACAATTTTCAGGTTCTTAGCTGCCACAGAGACAAGGTCTTGCAAATCTGTTACACAAATGGAAACACAAGTTGAAACACATTTCGAATGGTTTCAGAACTATAAGGCTAAAATAGATGCCAACAAAGACAGAAAAGCTATTGGCAAGCAGGATATCGCCAAGAGGCGACGTTTTTTTCCCAAATTTATGGGAAAAAAGTTCGTTCTGATATTGATACTGATTGATACTTCTAGTTCATGAAGATGGCAGAAAACTGAGAGCACCTAACAGGACAGCAAGGGTAGGAAAGCAGAAAAACACCCTGCCTGTGTGCATCTTACCTTGCTAAGCTTTCTTCTGTACCCAAGGTGCTAAGATGAGTTTTGGATAGCAGTGTGGGAGCCTTTCTCCACTGCTTACAGCCTGTAAGCTGCTGGTGTTTTCTGCTGGTCTGGGGGTGAGAGTTAATAGACAGCAAAAGGGAGAACAGAAACATCAAAGTGGGTGTTAAAAAATTAAAAGTAATAGTGAGAAAAGGGAAAAAGAACTGAGAAGGAAAAATGGAAATGGGGAGGACTTTAGTTGGCTGTGTCAGAATATGGAGGAAGAAACACAGATATTCAAATACTGATCCATCCCTACTGGGGAAATGATTGTTTATGGATATAGAAACTTTGATATCAAACGCTGATGTCAGAACTGAGGAGGACAGCTCTGGGATGTATGAATTATTGTGCTTTTGCTAACTGTTGACTGTTACCTAAATTACTGAAAAGTAGAGATGAGAGAGAGTAGAGATTTTAATTATTCACTCAGGTAAAGTTGTATTTATGGTAGAATGCTGATATTTAGTTTACAATATCTTAATCCAATAGGTACAACATTAATTTGACCCAAAGGAATCAACAAAGAAAGCTGTCAACTGCTGAAAAAAGTTATTTCAATAGATCTATTTGGTCATATGTTTTTTACACGTTCAAATTTGACTTGAGAATTTTTAGTAAATAAGTTAGAATATTGCAGTGAGAGTGCTGAGAGGAGCATTTCCAAAGCAAGAAAGGAATGTCTTTTCTCCAATTATGATCTCACAAAATGGGATGTTAAATGAACTTCAGACTTCGCCAAGAAATTTTTCTGTACTTACATACAAAATGTGGACATTGCAGGACAAAAAAGGTTTTTTCAGCAAATCAAAACAGGTTGAAGTCATGCCTGTCATAGACTCAGTATTAATGACAATGTTTCAGCTCAGTTTCTGCCAATTTATTTTATTAAAAAATTCCCAGACTTACTTTTAAGATAATTTTACCTGAAGGTGTCCTTAAAACTATTTTGTGACTTCCCATCCAAGCATTCCTGTTTATGCTCTTTGAAATATCACTTCTAGGTGAGTTGTGTAAGTTGACTGTTTCTGGCGTGACTGACCGCTGCTTCATAAGCGGTAAAGACTCTGTGAGGAGTGTTGTGATGTAACTTCTCGGGTGGGACTTGTATTCAGCCTGCCCATCTTTGTTATAGTCCAAGATACTTAAATATATCCTAGGCATGAGATCATGCTTTTCGTTCCGTTACGTGCTGTGTTACGGCATGAGCATACTGAAGATGCGCTGAGGGTGTAAGATACCAAATGGAATCCTGTTCTGACTGGAGTCAGAAGTTTTGCTGTGGATGTCATGGGTGTGGAACAACATACATTCTCACGCACAAGACTCTGCATTTGTGTTTCTGAACACAGACCTCTTGCTTCTAATAGCAGGGTATAGAAGGGAGAAAGTGTGGACAAAAGATGAACAAAAGCAAGTAACTCTGAAAACTACAATTTTAAGTGCCTTTTGGAGTCTGTGCTTTATGGCGAAAGTGCCTTGTAACAGTTCTTACTGCTAGATCTTTACAGTGTTACTTTGTTACTGATTTTAATAGTGAAAAGTAAAAGTTCAGCTTCTCCTGCACTGACACAAGTGCCTTAAGTTTATGCATTGCAATAGTTGCTTCAGTCCGGCAGATATTTAAATATTGCAAATACCCATTGTTCAGTCCTGCAATTTCTTGTATACAGGTGTATGCCTGCCTTTTTATATAGTCCCCTTTTGGGACTGCAGGAAGGGCATTCTCTGTGAGAGGGATTCCTTAATTTTGGGGAAGTACACTAAACTTACCCATTCGTGGACATAATATGTGAAATTCAAGCATTGCTGAAGAACAACTGTATTTTCCTGTTACATCATTGGAAATGGCCAGGACGGTTGGTTGACTGCTCACCTTGAGCACTACGAAGTGTAGTATTGCCCTTGCCTCAGTGAAGTTTGGGTGCAAGTGAGAGATACCAGTAAGATGGCTGGGGTCTTATGCTACAAGATTCCTAGGACACATTACAGATTCCTAGGGATCTCTAACGCTTACGAGGTTCTAACGAGCTGTTAACACCTCTCTAGGTAGTAGTGCCAGTGATTGCTTTCTATTACTCTAATATCATTTGCATTCATTTTCGGCAGGCTCTTCTGTCCAGTTCAACTCAGTTGGAAGTCTGACACATTTTCTTCAATTCAGTGAGATAATAATGGTACATAAAGAGGAGTTTCTACCATACCCTGTAATGGAGAAGCACTGGAGTTTCTACAAAGGATGTGAAAGTTTTGGATTCTAGAGAATTCTTGAGTGCTAACATTTTTTTCTTCATCGTTACTTAAAAGTAAACATTTGAGCTTGTAGAACTAAGTCCTTTGTTATTGCCATTTTGATAAATCAGTTGCCCAGCACTTGGAATGGACTGAAAGATTGTTTGGGTAAACGAGGAACTGGGGAGTACTTTGTAGTGGGTGAGGATAACTGTCAGTATTGAATTTTGCTCTGAAAGATTAAGAAATGGGAAGGTACAAGAGGCCAGTTATACACTGGTGCTCATTGTGAGTTATATTCCAGGTTGATAACTTTGTATGAAAGTCACTGCTATCAACATTGATAGTCATTTCCTACACCTAAGCCTGGAACCGAATCAGAAATGGCTGCACATGTTTGTGTAATAACGTAACCTGTTAGGTTAGGCAAAAAATCAAGATGGGCAGCTTTGAAAATCACCAGCAGCTTTGCTTTATGTGGTGTGGATATATATAAACATTTGAGAAGGGGGCAGGTGCTGCTGGGAGAGGTTAAAAGAGGAATCTTAGCCATTGGAAGTGCTCAGGGAAATTTCCATTCATGTTGCAGCCAGGTCTTTCTGATAGGCAGAAAACGTGCTGGCATATGGCAAGAAATGCAGTTAGCCTGTTTGTGGAACACAAATATCTTAGATATTCACCCCGATCTCTGGAGGATTTCTATTTGTTTTAATTTTACAATGTGTGAATCTGTCTCAGTAGCATATTTATAACGCATTTGACTGTCATGAGAGTTATCTGCATTCAAATGGCAGTCTTGCTTTTTCGTTCTCTGGATTATAAGAAGAGATGAAATAATAACACCTGCTACTCCTAACTCCAGTGAATGGGATGAGAAATATCTCCTGTCGATACGTAACAACCTCAGCTAGCTATTTGGAGTGCAAAGAGCTGTTCTGCAGAGATTTGATTAGTGTCTTAAACAGAAGGTGGTTCAGGGAAGAGAGAGGGGTCTGATGTGCAGGGAGCTAATGCTGTGCCCTAGGATGCATGAGCAATCATAGCCTGATGGGCTGTAAGGATAACGAAATGCAAACTGCCTGGAAGCCAAAAAGGTTAAAGGCTACTGAGTGACAGGTATTTAGTAAAGGTCACTTTCCACACAGAAAATGGAGCGGTCTCACAGCTGCTGCAGCAAAACAAACCTGAAGGCATATTGGTTTAAAGGAAATGTTCATTCAAATACTACACTTTCACTGAAAAGTGAAAAAGTTCACTTTTGACTGTTAAAATGGCTACTGAATTACTTATACGTTTGTTTGACATTTTTTCTTTGTTACAAGATGTCTAATAAAATTAATGTATAAAAACTGGGAGGACTTGACAGTAATACTTTTAGTCCATTATATTAACATGATTACAGGACCTAAGGCAATCCCAAGATACAGTGACAAAAAATCTGATTGATTCAAGCATGGCAAAGAGGTGAAAATGTAAAGTGTTAGATGAAAACCACTGTCTCTTACTGATGCTATATGTAAATGTAAGCTACCAGGGTTTTTTTCAGTATTTGTGTTGTATATAAGCATCTTGAGAAAGGTGTTAGCTTGACAACATATGTTTTAATATGACTTACAAATGTAGGATTCTGCTTCCCAAAACTTCTTACAACTGTGAATTTTCCCCGTTTTCCCTACCAGAATCTTTTTCTTAATGTAAAGGTTCATTAAGAGATGGTAAAAAGTTGTACCATAATGAATAGGGTGGTTTGTTTTCTCAGCTTAAATTTATGCTTTTTAAGTGTACTTTTGCATAAAAATATATCACAGGTCGAAGATAGGCAGCTATTAGTGATCGTAACTACAGCAGAGTAATGAAGCTTCTGCTTTCAAGGGGCAAGCAGCAACAGTTAGTCCTCCCAGCACCTCCTGCTCCTTCCATGATTCAGTTCTTTTATTTAGGAAACTCCTTCTCCATTCCTAGGCTGTGGGTTACCACATATTTTGTGTGGTGCAGGCTAAGGTAAAAAGGACATAAAATGCAAAGAATACAAACCCCCTGGCGTTCTGCCTGCTGTTAATATTCAGATGGGGAATAAGAGGAGAAAGAGATGATGCAGTGAACAAAAGCCACGAGTTCAGATTCATATTTCCACAGATTTATTTATTGCCGAGATGGAGTTAAAAAAATCAGTGGGAAGATTAATACCAGTGAGGAAGAATGCAAGGCACAAAACAAAAGAATGAGAGTGAGAAGGAAGATAAGCAGCTGGGAGGCAGACAATACAACACAAGATGCATAGATTTTAAGGCCAGCAGGGACCAATGTGATAAGCTGACCTCCTGAATAACACAGGCCAGAGGTTGTGGAAAGGTATAAGCAGGGCAGACACGGGGAAAAGAGAAAAGAAATAAAGATGTGGGTAGAGCTAAATTCACTCTAGGCAGAGGATCCGCACAAAACACTGCACCTTCTTTCCAGGCAAAGCTGAACTATAACGAGCAAGAGCAGTTAAGGTAAGAGAAACGTGGGAATGAAGGCCGGCTTTGGAAACGTGTTGAAGTACTCTAAGGTGCAAATACACCTTGGGTTTTTGATGGTGGGAATGCAACTAAGGAGGGGCGGAGGCAAAAGGGATACCAGAATAATGTTGCCATAGGAATCTGAATAAATTCTTGGAGCAGTTGCAGTTGGCAAGTGTTTTGTCATTATGACACAGAGGCAAAGACTTTTTTTTTTCTGGTTTTCAAACCTTAATGTTAGCTGGAGAAAAACACCCCGTTTGAATGATCGAGAGAATGAACAACTGCATATATGAGATTCAGGCCCTTTTTCTGGGTCATCAGTAGTCAAGTAACCAGACGGGTAGGAAATCATAAAGATGATCTGGAATTTGAATGATTACGTTTCTGGCCATATCAAGAAAAGAACATGGCACAGGAAGGGAGTAAAACATTTCAAAGATGGAACAGGATTCAAAGAACTCCTAGGTTTTTCATGTATATATGTTTTTGGGGGGTTGGGTTGGGCTTTTTTTTCGGTTGGTTGTTGGGAGGAGGTGGTGTTGTTGCTAAGGCTTTGGCTTCGCCTCTGGAGAAAGTTTTACCACCTACACCAATACTATTAGAGCAGAGCGGCCCGCAGGTGAGTTGTCCAGCAGCTGTGTCCCTTTGATTTCACTTACGTTTCTGTGGAAGGAGCTCGGGCATATGGTTACATATATGTACATATCGGTTACAGTGGCTTAAGCAATTAGCAGTCTTCGGCCGAGCTGTCACAGCCGTGCCCAGCTGCAAGGTCTGCGCTACGGCAGCAGGCAGATGCTCTCCGCTCTGGCGGCGGCTTCCAAACTTCACACCGAAGCCATGCAGCAGGCGTGCTGAGACTAGCAGCTCAGCCTGACTTCAAAACGCTGGCCTCTGCCTGGAAGTCGTTGGGGAACTGCAATATTCCCGTGCAAGGGCAGGTTATTTCACTATTAGCAGAGGTTTAAAGCCAGACCGCAGCTTGGTAGTTCAAAGCAGCAGCCGCGGCCGGCTCCCCGCGCCCATCC